CTTAGAATGAGGCCAAACTACAATATTCAGTCCTTCTGATAGACCCAGAGCCGAGTCTAGGCCACCAAACCACATGATGCCCTGATAGGCTGAAAATGGACCCTATGGAAAGTCCCCAACCGCTTTTCCCCATATTAAATTATGACTGGATGGGACTCAGGAGCTGTCGTTTGTGGATTTTTCCCTTTAAAACTTGCTACTGGTCCCACCTCGGGGACAGAGTCTGGAGCCTGAACCCTGCCACCTCCCTCTATCATATCAGTGTTTCTAAATAAATTTTTGTCTTGCTCAAATGGGTCTTCTGTGGTGGATTAATCCCAGATTCTCAGACACAAACAATCTGAACTCCATCTTTAATTTTAATTAACCTTATTTAGCCCCCAAACTTTCTAAATGCTTGGAAAACCTCCTTTATCTTCCAGCTTCAGAATTCTCTCTCCACAGAAGCCTCAGCCTGCCTCATCTATTAAATGACCTACAGTTATGAACAATAGAAAGATAAATCTGTTTCATTCAATGGAAACATTTACCCAATGAGTCTGAGTCATCAAAGCCTCAGAAAATTTGACACATTCATTAATTTTGTTCAAATTTATTTGTTAACCCAGAAATTGGGTACCACACAAGCTCAGAAGCCTGTGTCTCTTACATGAAGACGTATTTGCTTTAATGAACAATTTCACTAAGAAAAGTAAGGGAAGAGCTTGGGCATATATGATTCCACTGAGCCTGATTTATGGAGCTCCTTTGAGGGGAGTGGCACCCCCAGTCACAGGCTGTGATGAACCAGATGCAGACTGTGTTCTGCAAGGGCTTATGTCTGGGAAAGGAAGCAACTAGGAAAAGCTGCAACATGGTGGAGCACCCCATGACACCACATCTCCCTCTCTAGATAACATGAGTTTCCGGTTGCAGAGCCACCCATTAACCCGCCAGGATTCCTTATGGCATGGGAGTGTCAGGACCTCCATTGAAGCTTCATGAGGGATTCCCGACTTAAGTTTCCTTGGCTAAAGTGTCAGCCAGTTTTGTGCTGCTGTAACAAATTCCTTGAGCAGAAAGCTTAAAGGAGAAAGAATTGTTTGGGGCTCAAGGTTTTAGAGGGTTTAGTCCATCATGGTGGTGAGTGTGTGACAGAGAACAGCTTACATTAAGGTGGCCAGAAAGCAGAGAAGGGAAATGCCTCCCTGAACTGACTTTCTCCTTTTTCCTTTTCACTCTTTCTGGGTCCCTGCCTATTGGATGATAACACTCACATTCAGGACAGGCCCTGCCTTCCTTGATTAACCCTTTCTGGAAATGTCCTCACAGACTTGCAGGATGTGTTTATAAAACCACTGGGTGTTTCTTGGTCTAATTAAGACGACAGTCAAGATGTGCCACCATAGCTAAACAGGTTATTTCATTACTCTGGCTACGTGATTTACTCAGGGATGGTCACATGGCTGAAGGTGATTCAATGAGATTCAATCCCTGGGTCATACTGAAATGATGTTAAAATAGAACCTTTCTTCCTAAAGTTGCTGAGCTGTGGAGATAAGAATTCTGGAAATAAAGGCAACAAAATACAACAGAGCGAGCCTAGGATCCATCTGTGCCTTAAGAATCACAATTGTGTGTGTGAAGAATTTTGTGTTTCAGGTGTTCAGAATTTGGTTTTTCTGTAATATGTGTTCAGTGAATGTATCCAGATGGAAGCTACAGAAAGGGTTTCCTGAGATGTAGGCCCAAGAGCAGGCACAGTAGTCTTGGGCTAGAGTTGGGTCTGTGAGTACAAAGGACACCAACATGAAGCACCATCCTGCAGCCCTGCCAATAGGTGGTCTCTGATGGCGCCTTTCTCCACCCACCACACACCAGAATTATTGTAGCTCAGTGACTGCAGACTGCACATCTTCCAGAGACATTGCTCTCAGAGAATGGTGCCCCTTTTTCTACTTTCAGAATCTATGTGCTCAGTAGATGCTTGATGCATGTTTCCTGGGTCAGATGCTATCATGTTCTTGAGCAATAGGCCAAACTGAGTCACAGAAGATAGCCACCTAGTGGTTATGACATCACTTTGATATGAGGACAATGTCAGCTAGGCCTCCAGCTTGATTCCAAAAAGCTAAGAATCACCCAAGCTTCTGAGAAAACTTTTCCCCAGGGCCCCAAATGATGGTAGCAGTAATCCTCCACCATGCAGTTCCCATAAGTTACTTCTTTTTCTCATAACCTCTCTTACACTTTCTCAGAATCACACTGCCACAGCAAGGCATGTTCAGTACTGAAAGTCTCCTTCATCATCAGCACATGGTACACATACACATGTGCATGATCCCACACCCATCAGCCTGATGCATGCACTTGATGGCTTGGTAAGCCCAGGATCTGGTTTTGATGAACCTTAGTAACTTCTGTGTTTTATTGCTTGGTAATCCTGGGACTGGAATTTTATCAGCCTTACTCTCTAATTTCCATTCAGTATGCTATAACTTCTGCTGGAGTCAGTCATGTGACATGAAGGGAGCTTATATTAGGAGGGCATGATGGTAAATTAATTTGGAAGCTGCACATAACAATGCTTCTTCCCAAGCTCACGTGTGGTTACATTCATGGAAGTGAGTGAGCAGAATGCTCTCTTCTGTTCTCTCATCTCTGAATATGAAAATGTTAAAAAACAAACAACACAAAAAACACTTAAAGTTGGACAGTAATTGGTACACACCTTTAATCCCAGATCTCAGAAAACAGAGTCAGGTGGATATCTTTGAATTCAAGACCAGCCTGGTCTAAAGAGTGAATTCCAGAATAGCCAAGTGTATACATAGAAACTCTGTCTCAAAAAAAGAGAAAAAGAAGAAAAGGAAAGAAGGAAGGAAAGAGATAAGGAAAGAAAGAAGAAAGAAAGAAAGGAAGAAAGAAAGAAGAAAGAAAGAAATGTCCTCTGTGTGCCATTAATCTGTTAGCTTTCAGTTGGGTCTTGAGTTCATATCAGAGACTGGCTTGGCATGACAGAGCCTCTGGGTTTTATAGTGAACACTACAATAATAGATGGTTATAAAATGATTAGGTACTTAATAAGCATACATTAGTGGATGAATAAATGAGTCAATAAATAAACGAAGTGCAGATGAATACTAAGTAGTAGATTTTGCAAGGAGAACCCAACTGTGAGGTACAGAATCTCATGGATGTATCTTCTCTTACCTGTCCTGTCCTCAGTCATGACTGTCTCCAAACAACTGAGTCAATGAATGATTATTCTTTGCAAAACTACTCCAAAACCTCTGTCCCCTGCCTTGGCATGTCATGAAGTGGTAAGCTGGTTTCCTTAGACCTGCACTGACTTGGTATTCTGTGTCAAGTAGATAATTTACCTTTTCTGGAGCTGCATTATCTCTACCAACATTTTTTTACCTTGTTTCTCATGAATGTATGGTAGAGCTGAAACATGATTGACAACTAAGAATGGAGATTACTGTGAACACCCTTTGCATTATCGTGGACCCAGTGGACATGTCGCTCCAAGAGCAAGAAGACAACCTTGAAGCTTGTGTCCTGACATCAGTCTTCACCAAAGAAACCTTCAAGGTAAGTAGGTCCAAGATACTTAGAAGGGCCCAGCATTGAACCCATCATGTGTTAAAGAATCAGTTGCTCAGAGTATAGCATAAAATGTCTTGAATTCAAAACTGGCCCTGGCTGATTTAAGACTAGGTTGAGGACAAGATACCATTGAGATTCTAATATGTTCCTCACTCCCCTGAGGTTATGATATGGCTTCAGTTCAGACTCTGTAGGATGCATATTCTGTTAAAGTTAATGTGGGACATGGCTGTGGTGGGTCACTACTTACCTCTTAACCATAAAAGCCAGGATTCTACCTTTACCTTGATAACAGTATCAGACAACCAATCATTGTTAAGATTGATCCCACTTTCTTGGAGTACAGCACCTAGAGTGGATCACAGTTAAGAACCATTTGTAGTCTCCATCTATTGAAGTCAAGATAAGACCTGGACACGGATGATTTCAAGGTGCAGCCTATACACCCAGTATATCAGGTTGTGCCAAAGTTGTTTTATGGTTAGTTGCAGCCAAGATACCATAAAGCCTTATGTGGTCCTGACTCCCTAGAAGTAATGATGGTCATGGTAGGATGGAACAAGGTCTAACCCCCACACACATGTACCTGAGGTGTGCCTGGGACACTTGATGGTTAAGGTCAGTATTGATATCACAATAAAACCTTTGCTCTGATGTCTGTCATCAGCACTGGAATCCTTGTTGTAAGTCAAGATTGTTCATACATAGGATTTGCCTGGCTCAAAGCTGAGACTTACATCTGGTTCAGGATTTATTTAGGTTAGATAAGTTCTAGACTCAGAAGAATGTAGTGAATGGCCAATAAACCCTTGGTGTTGTGTTAGGTTCTGCTATAATGGTTTGATGGTTAGGTGTGTCCTGAACTCTTGAGGCTATAGTTTTGGATTCTGGCTACTTGTAAATGAAGTTGTCTGAGCTCAGATGAAGATCTAGTCATCCATAGAACCCTTGTAGTTAAGGTCATCCCAGGCTTCTTGATGGCCACAGAGTGGTCCTAATGTAACTCAGAGTCTCCCACATACCTTTCAAATCAGTATGGTCTCAGTCTCCTTTCTGTTTCTGGGATGGGGATTTCCTTGGCTCTTTTGTGATTATAATTCAACCAAGAACCAACTTCGTGCCCTGCTAAAGGGACTCCCTTGAATAGGTCTACTCATGAACCAGGAAGCAGACCTCAGAAGATATTACCAGCATCTTGATCTTGGAGTCTCAGCCCTCAGAATGGTGAGAAAGTTTCTGTTGATAAGAAACCACTGGCCTACGGTATGTTGTTGTTGAAGCCCAGATGAGCTCAGATAGTTCCACAACTGAGGATCATTGGAAAGATATGAATTCCAGGCAAGGAGCTCTGAAGGATAGGACCACTCCAGAGCAGCTTGTCCAAGCAAAGAACAGCAGGATCCTGTGCCCCCACTGACACCATGGGGCTGAGGAATAACTATTATTGTGCTTCCATTCTTTCAGCAGGCAGGAGCCAGCTTCATGTGTATGTTTCAATGTGTGCTCTCTGGGATAGGAATATCTAAAACATGCTCATGTTGGATCATGAGGACTCTAGAGTTGAAAGGTGGGCATTTGGGGAGATGTTCAGGCTCTCATCCTCATTAAGGACTGCTGTCATTGTAGAAAGAGTCAGTTGGGGTGAGTTTATTCCTTCTGCCCCGTAACAACATGGTGATAATCTTTCACTTCTCTGTTTCACCATATGAGAGGACAGTAGCAAGGTATCTGAGAAAACAGATGCCGGCATCTTGTTCTTTATCTTTTCAGCTACAAAACTGGGAAATTAGTTTTTTGTTGTTAATTTTGCAGTCTATGATACAGGTCTCTGTTGAAACATACACTTGATCTTCTTTTATAATTTCATAACTTTAATCTGAAATTTTGATGTGGGGTAGAGGAAAAAATAGTTATCACATTTGTCTCCACCTTCTTCCAAGTAGAAGCTTCTTCATTTTCCTAGCTAAGCTGACATTAATTTGATACCCTACCTGTTTATAATTTTAGTATTGCAGTTATTGCTTTTAAGAATTACACTGTTACAGATTATTGCCATTGTTCTTAGTTGGCCACCAGAACTTGATAGTAAGACACTATTGCTGAAAACACTATGCGTTGTGATTTCCGGAAATGGAGAAATGAATTTGGTAGCAAGAAAAGGATTTCTCCCTGCTGTCAGACTTTTAGAGTAGAAACATATGTAATGTAGGTTACTGGGGAAAGAGGGTCCTCTACTACAGTCTTCTCTAGCTGTTGTGTACCAGGGAGCTATCAATGGCATCCAATTTGGCAAGATATGCCTATGAGTGCAATAGTGGCATGGATGTTACAGGATTAACTGTCTCAGTTAATATGCTATTGCTATGAAGAGACACCATGACCAAGGAAACTGATAGAAGAGTTTAAATGGAGGCATACAGTTTTATAAGATGAGGTTATGACCATCATGTCCAGAATTATGACAACAGTCTGGCAAACCTGTTGCTGGAGCAACATTTGAAAACACACATCCTGAAACAACAAGCAGGAGGCAGAGAGAAACCTCAGTACCACATCTAGTGACACACCTCCTAATATTTCCCATACAGGTTCTCCAACTGAAATCTAAGTATTTAAATATGTGAACCTATGGGGGCCATTCTCATTGAAACTACCACTACCATTCTGATTAGAATTAAGACCAAATACACAGTTGGAAAATCGTGCTTTGTTCTGTTGATCTGGGAAAGACCACCTCCTCCCAGGTGAACTTAGCATCACTATTCTGTTAGACAGGCATAATACCAAATGGTCCTCTTAATTAGTATCTCTAGAATTTTAGGTTAGTGTTGCTCTCAAACCTCATCTGAAAAGTTTTTGCTTAACACAGGAACTGGACCCTCATAAGATGCAGAGAGTTTCTGTGGCATTATCAGGCATACATGGGATATTTATATCTTCCCTTACAGCTCAAGGACCATTCTGGAAGAGTGGGTGGAAAGATTTTAAGAGCCAGAGGCCAGGAACGATTAGAATAAAAGTGTCTTCTGGACATGACAGGACCATTGCACTCATGAACTCCAAGGTCACACCAGTGAATATTCTGGCATGGAAGAGAAAGCAGCTCACTAGCGTCGGCCTCCAACTATGAAGCTGTTGGCAGTAGATGGTTTCTGGAGGAGGAAGAGTTAGTTTCCCTTTGGGTGCTGATGCCAGGTAGCTTGAGTGACTTACTAGAAAGCACTACACACAAGAGAATACAGGCATAAAAGTTTTACCCAAGTAGGTTTAATCCCCTGCCCCCCCACACACACAAATGAATTTCAGAGTGTTGGGTGTGAGAGAGTGGATCTGGGAGTATTTGGAGGAATGAAGAATAATGTGATCAAACACATTTTATGTATGTATGTATGTATGTATGTATGTATGTATGTATGTATGTATATGCAATTCTCAATGATTTTAATGCATCTTTTAGAAGTTTATTGTTTAAGAACACCAACCCAGTCACAAAACCTTCAACCTATAATCTCTCCCACCAACAAGGTGTACTAGAGCAATGCAGGAGCAGAACTTATTGGAGTGGACAACCAATAACTGGGCAACTTGAGGCCCACACCATGAGAGGGAGCCCATACCCAACACTGCATAGATGATCAGGAATCAGAGATGGATAGTCCAGATACTTATGATAGAAAAAATCAATAGAACAACATCTTTATATGCTCATATTGATGCCTAGCCTAATTGTAATCAAAGAAGCTGCCATTGGCACCTGGGAGCAGATGCAGAGACCCACACGACAAGCATTAGGTGGAGACAGAGCCAAAATGAAGATCTCCATCGGGTCCCTATCCCTTGGAGCTCAGAGAATCCCATGGAAAAGGGGGGAGTAAGAAATGTGGAAGCCAGAGAAGCTGAGGATATGAAGAGAACAGGGCCCAGAGACTTCAACTAAGTAGGGCTCACAGAGACTGGAGCCTGAATCGGTCTGTACTAGGACTTCTGCATATATATTGTGGTTGTTAGCTTGATACTTTTGTGGAACCCCCTAACAGGGGAAGAAGGGGTATCTCTGGCCCTTTCATCTGCTCTTAAGACCCTTTTCCTCCTATTGAGTTGCCTCACCCAGCCTTGATATGAGGGTTTGTGCCTAGCCTTATCGGATCTTCTTATGTGGTGTTTGGTAGATGTTCCTGGGAGGCCTACTCATTTCTAAAGGGAAATGGAACAGGAGTGGATGTGGGGGAGGGGAGATGTGGGGGACTTGGGAATAGGGAATAAGGGAGGAGGGGAGGAGGGGAAACTGTGAGGGGGTATATTGAAAACAAAACAAAACTTTTGTTTAATGCTGTTAAATTCTTCTGGAAAAAAGTGTGACAGTCACAGTCATTGTAATTCAGATTAATTCACATTAGTCTAGAAGATTCTAGCTGCAGCCCCAGATGATAGGCAGGGCTCAGTTCATTCACTTATGCTTTTAACCATTTTCTTTTTATTTAGAAAATGTGAAGCAATGCTTTGTGGTTTTAATGAGCCATTCCATAAATGTTTTGGTCATGTTTGGGGAAAAGGTAATAATCTTAATTGGCATTTAATTCTCTTTCTATTTGTGGAGTGAATAACTTAATTGTGAACTACCCTGGATCATGACTGAAACACGAACAACTGGAAAGTAATGTGACTCCATTGCTTAGTTTTAAGAAGAATACATTATTGCCCCACCACTACTATTTGGGCCTTAAAGGACAGAGCTTTATATTTGAGATGTTGCATGATGTTGACACCTATGTTTGTTCAATCCCGTCATGTTCTAATAAGCCAATCAGTACATTCTGAGTTGTCAGATTTGCAAAATTACAAATAGAGAAACCCTTCTTTGAATAATTAGTATAATGGCCGAAAAATGTAGGTATAAGGAAGACCATCTCATAGAATTTGTTAAAGATATGTATAACAGATAAGGTAGAATACCTTGCTGGCTATTAATTTACATTAAAATTTACATTGACATTTATGCAAAATTTTCTTAAATAACTTTATGGTTTTGACACCTTCTTAGGTGCCCCATAGAGAAACAATATCAGTGTAACCTTTAAGTAGATTAGCATTGGTTCAACATGTTTTGATGTGTTCTTGGTCCTTCCTTTCCCTGTAGAATCTTACAGCCCTGACATGGAGGTCAGGTATCAAAGAATGCAAGCCTTATCAGTTAAAACACTTTCATCTGAATAGGTAGCTTTTATTGCAGAAGTTAGGAATAAAGCCAGTCCTGGTGGTCCTTGAATATGATCACTTGAGATACAGAGACATGATGACTAATATTAGTTCAATGTCAGCCTAGACTCTCTAGCAAAATCTATAAAATCAAAACAAAATATGAGTGCAAACAAAATATTGATCTAAACAGCTTTAAAACTTTGACATTGAAAAAACACATGTTAAGAAGTATCCTCTGATTTGGGCACTACAGATCTTAGTTTTCACATACTGTGATATAATACAGATATACTTATCTGGTTCATTGGGATTTCTACAATGAATTACCTCCCCAAAAGTTTTATGCCTGACATAGACCAATTAAATATATGATTTGCATAAAAGCCTCTATTTGGCTATTATTGATATACAACTATACATAAATGCACAAATATACAGTGACACCTATATTTGTTTCTTCTTTCTTGTTCATTTCCATCTACCTTGTAGTTACTAATGTCCAGTTAGGGGCTATCCCTGGGAAGGACTAATTCTCATCACTGCCTAGTCACCTATGACACTTTGTCTAGTGGCGAAGTCACATGGTTTTCCTCAAACTAGCATGTCTAATGGTGGTGTATTGTTGAGATATTTTTTCAGGCACCAATAGTGCTGTGGGTTCATGTGTGCAGCTTCCATGTCATTTCTACAAGAAACCCACCTCTAACAGGAACATTCCTGGTCCTCTCACTCTAAAATGTTTCTTTTCCCTCTTGGTCAATGATCCCTGGGTCTTAAGAGTAAAGGTTGTGTTGTAGATGTATAGGTTGATGTTGCTCTTCCCACAGTCTAGTTCACTGCATTAGACCAAGTGTGGCTTTCTGAAATGGTCTGCTGCAGCTGCTGCAAACACAAGCTACTTTGAAGAGTTCTGAGAGCTAAGCTTACCTGTGGATATAAGGATAAATATTGAGGCTGCAGATAAGAAATATAATGACTTAATAAAGTGTCAGTAGTTGGTTCTTCTATAAGATCCTTGACCTTAGTAACCATGTGGAGTTGGCTAGCATTCTAGTATATGGCAATATTTTACCACTGACAAGCAAGCCTTAAGTGCAATTACACAAAACAATTACTACCAAATATGAATGCCATTATTATGACTTTAGTGATACTTTGCCATGTTGGGCATTTTGTGGTTAATAGGCATAACAATTGAATACTTCCCTCCCTTAACAGCTTTTATAGAATTCTGAAAAACAGTCCTCATAGAGGTATGTTTAGGGTCACATGCAGGCCAAATTCTCAGAATCCTGTGTCCCAGGTGCTTGGTGTTTTGGGCACCAGGGTATCACCTTCAACTTCTGGGAGATGACCAAGTGCAACAGCATTAGCCTGAATTGTTTGGGAAGTCTATTGGAGGCCCATGACCAGCAACTCAAAAATGGCTTCCTCCTGACTGGTTCCTTGTGTTTGGGCAGTTGACTAGAGGACCTCTGGTTCAGGGTACTTATCATCTTTGGGAACTTGGGTCATTCCAGGAGTATTCGAGAAAATGGTTTAATCCATGACTCCTGAGGTTTATAGTTTGTCCTAGGCTACAATGGAATGACATAATAGATAGACATTCTGACTGGGATACTTTCAATGTTTGTCCTGAGGTTTTCTTTTGGGTTTATTCAGGCTCTTTGGTTTCAGAGTTTAGGGAGCCTTTCTTTACTGACATGCTTGAGTTGATGCTAAAAGCCTCAGGTGATTACTGGCAGGTCTTCAGTGCGCTTACTCCTGGACTTACTAGTATAGTTCCTTACCATTCATGGGCCCTCAGATCACCAATAGGACAATGAACAAGAAATTATTAAGATGACCCAATTTTTAGGAAGACTCAAGACTTCATCCCTGGACAGTTTGTTCTGTTTCTAACTCACTGATTTTTGTAAACTGTATGGACCACCTTTGCCTCTGATGTTGACTCAAGTGCCTTTTACTCAGAATATACAACTCCTGTTCTATGAATGAAAGCAGGCAGGTATCTTCAGATCAGTCCTCATTAGAAGGTGTAACTATTTAAGGCTCAAAAAAATTAAGGCTCATAGGGAGTGGTACTATTAGAAGGTGTGGCCTTGCTGGAAGAACTGTGTCCATATAGGGGTGGGCTTTGAGGCCTCCTATGCTCAAGCTATGCCCAGTATGGACACAGACTCCTGCTGCCTGTGGATCAAGATGTAAAACTTTCAGTACTTTCTCCAGCACCATGTCTGCCTGTACGCATGCCAGTATGTCTTACCATGATGATAATGTACTAAGTCTCTGAAACTGTAAACCACCTCCAATTAAATGTTATCCTTTATAAGAATTGTCATGAACATGGTGTCTCTTCATAGTAATAGAAACCCTAACTAATACAGAAGTAGGTTCCAGGGTCTGGGGTATTATTGTGATAGGCCTGGCCATGCTTTTGTTTGGAATAATTTGGACTATGGGAGTTTTGTTTAGAAAATCAGGAAGAATGCTTTAAGCACTTATTAATGAACCATACTAGTAGGAACACGGAAAACAGTTGTGGTAAGGGTTAATTTGAACTGTTTCAGAGAATAATATTCATATATTACCTAGAGATTGTTCTTGTGATATTTTGGTGAAGAATATGACTGCTTTTTGTCCTTGTCTAAAGTGTTTGTCTGAGGCTAAAGTAAAGAGATTTGGATAAATTCCATTGGCAGAGAAAATCTTAAAACAGGCTAGTATTGACTCTCTTGTGTGGTTATTATGGTTAAGTCTAATGAAGAATATAATGAACAGCAGTAAGCTAATAAAGGAAAAATACAAAATGTACAATTTGAAGAGAAAAGGAACACCAGGAAGTGAAATGGAGCTAAGTCCTGTGTTCAAGGAGATAAACATATTAAGAGATTATATAAAGGGAATGGTGACATGGGGCAAAACACCAAGCTAAGCTTTCAACTTTTGAAAAGGATTAAGGAAAAGCTTAGAACCAAGTGTGATGGTACACGCCTTTAATACAGGATGAGAAATACCATCATAGAGGGAGTCACAGGTTTGAAGAGAGATCTGGCACCAGTGAGACCTCTAGTGATCTAAAAGGATGACACCAACTGGCAAGCTAAGCAATAGTGGAGAGACTACCTTACGTGCCCATTCCTGATAATGAACTTGACATCTACCTTATATACCATCCTAGAACCTTTATCCAGTGACAGATGGAAGCAGAGGCAAACACCCACAGTTAAACACTGAACTGAACCCATGAAACCCAGTGACAGAGAGAGAGGAGCAATGAGCAAATTGGCAAAGAATGGGCTGGCAAAACCATCAGAGACAGCTGATCTGAACAAGGGGAGCTCTTGGACCCCAGACTGACAGCTGGGAGGCCAGCATGGGACTGATCCAGACCCCCTTAGTGTGAGAGTCAGTGAGGAGGCCTGGGCAACCTATGGGGCCCTGGGCAGTAGATCAGTATTTATCCCTGGCATACAAATGGAGTTTGTGTGTCCATAACACAAAGAGGGATGCTCTCTCAGCCTGGACTCTTAGGGGAGTTCCTGGACCCTGCCCTGAGCAAAATGACAGACTCTAGATATCCCCTATGTGGAAGGAAGTGGGGATAGGGTGGGAGGCTGAGGGGGGTGGTTGGGGGTGCAGGAGGAGGAGAGGGAGAAGGAACTGGGGTTGGCATGTGAAGCAAGCTACTTAAAATTAAAGTAATAAAAAAAATTACCAGCATTCTAGAGGCAAAGGCAAATAGATCTCTGAGTTTGAGGCCAGGCTGGTATACAGAACTAGTTTCAGGACAGTCAAGCTAAGGCAATGAAGATAACTATCAAAAGCAAAGCTGATGAATATATAATTGAATGATGGGTCCATTTTACAGGACCAGCAAGCAGCAGAACTTGGCACTTTTGGCCACATGGCTTTGGCTTTAGAGTTGAGGACACTACTAAGGAAAGCTGCTGAGGTCTAGACTTGTGCCAGTGGTGTCCCTGAATGAAGGCATAAAAGGTCATTGTGAAAAACTGATGGTGAAGCCTTCAAAACCCCAAGATGTTGAAAATGGCCAGAGTTGTAGGATACAGAGGAAAGCTGCTAACTTGACATGGGGCCAGTCCACAAGAAATGTGCTGCAGTCAACAAGTGGGAGTTGGAGATCTGAAGATCACTTTGACATCAGATACAGAAATGCAGAGTTTGGAGTTTGCCCAGTTGGCTTTTGGTCTTGCTTTGGTACCATTTTTTCTCCTTATGCTCCCTTTACTCCCTTTTGGAATACCAGTGTGTATCCTGTGCCACTGTGTGATGAAAGTATGTGATATGCTTTTCATTTTGATTTATAGGGAATACAGTAAAGAAATTACATGGATCTCAGAAGAGACCTGGTACTTTTAAACATTGTTGAGAATGTGATAGATTATGGTGACTTTTGAGTTGGACTGAATGCAGTTTTTTACTATGATATGGCTACCAGGCTAGGACCAGGAAGTGGAATGTGATCATCTGAATGAAAATGACCCCCATAGAGTGGCACTAGTAGGAGGTATGTTCATGACAAAACTGTCATGCCTTAATTTCAAGAATGTATACACGTCATATGGCCTCCCCTCGTTTTGATTCCCCCCTCACTAGGCCAGAACCTATTCACCAAAAATTTGACTCAAAAGTGAGGATTCCTAACCTAATGACAGCCAACTGATATCAATGTCAGATGAGGGGGTCTTGAACCACAATGTAGCCTGTGTCAAATTTAGGTGTGTGGGGGCCACAGAGATGTTCATGAAATCCAGGATACATTCTCAAACTAGTGGAACCAGGATAACAAAGTGATCATGATATCTGGACAACCTACAGGAAAAATATCTAGGCATACTTAGGCACAACCTACAGCCATAATGTGCCCTGATGCTATCTGATCTTCAAGAAGTCAAGAACAAGTAGACCTCAGGTGTGTGTAAGTCATTACCAAGACCTCAAAGTCTTGGACAACCACATCTGCTATCATTGTTGATCTGTAATTGAAATTGCCTACATGAATTTCAAGACTGTGATCCACACAATGTTTTTATTGAACCCATGGCACATCCTCCCATTGAGTGAGTCAGAACCTATGGCCTTTTTCAGGTCTGAATCACACCTGGACTTCAAAAATTTTGTGCCCAGAATTTTTCCACTCATTTCCATGACCCAGTCAAGGTCTCTTAAGTGATAGAGATGTCTTCTAACTAAAGGAGAGTCTGCCTGCTCCTATTTCTTGGTTAGTTGGCTGATCCATAACAGCACCACATCACATAGGCAGTCTCAACCAGACATCAACTTTCTGAAAAACATTACCCTATGTTGCAGACAGGCTAGAATGAAACCTCAAGAACTCACACTGACACCTATCAAAATAAGGCCAAATGTCACTGCCACCTTGATCTCCACAAGAGTCATTTGGTGCTCATGATGGTTATTATTTGTATCCTGACAACATAGATTCCAGAATCTCTCCCTCCTAACCTTGGCCCTTCAACTGATATGATTAAAAACATAAAGTAACCCATTAGGTTAACAAGTTGACAACCAAAATGTATAGTCACCATTTAAATGCAAATGTCTGAGGGAAAACCCTATATCCCTGCTCTAGTGGCATGCTTGTTGGCTCAGACACAATTCATGGTTCACTGCCCAGATACGTTTGCCCATGTTTACTTAAACTCTCACCAGATCCTACCAAGAAGAAGCTGGAATTGCACACTGACCTCTACGGACATCTGCCTTCATGTTACATACATAATACAAATCTGAAGTCGTGAAATCTTATGCTACACTTCGTTCTGCATCACATGCCCTAGCAATGTGTGTTCAGTATTTAATAATATTTTATAATGCTCGTCTGTCATCATGGTTTACCCTGAAATGCTTCTTTTGGATCCTTTCCTGTATTTTTTGAGAGTTTTCAGTCTTCAGATTGAACTTCTTGTAGCCAGGTTTGATGGAATGGTTCATCACAAACAACAAGGGTGGTGAGCAGCACATTGTTTTTCATCTGCTGTCTCCATGCATTCTCTGCACATGTATTTCTTCCCAGACCTCTGTTCATGGTTCCCATCTTTGCCTTCAGTCGGCATCTGCTCCCACTCTCAAAGGGCCAGGTTCACAGAATATTTCACCTAGTTGGAAATCACAGGAATAGAATTTATATATTGGAGGAGTTTTGAACAACCACTTCTGGTGCATTATCAAATCAGCATTTGTGCTGATTTGAATGAAAATGGCCCCCATAGACTCAGGGAGTGGCACTATTATAGGCGTGGCTTGTTGACAGCAGCGTGTCACTGGGGTGGGCCTTGAGATTTTAGATGTTCAAGCTAATTCAGTTTTACCCTCTCTTCCTGCTGCCTGCTGATCCAGAACACTCAGCTCCCTCGCTAGCACCGTGTCTGCCTGCATGCTGCCATGCTTCCTGACATGATGATAATGGACCGATCCTCTGACTGTAAACCAGCCCCAATTAAAAGTTTTCCTTTAAAGAGTTGCCTTGGTCATGGGATCTCTTCACAGCAATAGAACACTAAGACAGGAGTTGGTACTAGCAACTGTGGTACTGCTGTGATAGGTCAGATCATGCTTTTATTTAGAGGAATAAGAAACACTTTGGAACTTTGGACTAGAAAAGCGATTGCACACTTTGAGTGAGACTTGATGGGGCTTTATAGTAGGAACGTGGAAGACAGTGCTACTGAGGGTGATGTGGATTGTGGGGGGCTGGCTGAAGAGGTTTCAAAGGAGAATAATATGTGGCCTACAGACTGCTCTTGTGATATTTTGGTGAAGAATGTGACTGCTTTCTGCCTTTGTCTTAAAAATCTGCCTAAAACCTTCATCCAGCGACTGATGAAAGCAGAGGCAGATACCCACAGACAAACATTGAACTGAACTCCTGGAACCCAGTGTCAAAGAGAACTAATGGGCAAAGGAGTTAAGACTAGCCTGGTTTAACCCACAGAAACAAGGGGGAGCTCTTGGACTCCAGATTTATGGCTCTGTGGAAAGCATGGGACTGACCCAGACCCCCTGAATGTGGATGTCAGTGAGGAGGCCTACATAATCTATGGGGCCTTGAGTAGTATTTATCCCGGACATACAAATAGACTTTGAGTGCCCATGTCACAATATGGGAGGCTCTCTCAGCCAGGACTCTTGGGGGAGGGCCTAGGCCCTGCCCTGGATGAAATGACAGTTACTGGAGATCCACCATGGAGGGCCTCACCCTCTCTGGGGATCAGAGTGGAGATTAGGTGGGGGACTGGGAGACCTGGTGGGGAGGGAGGGGCAGGAGGGCAGGGAGAGGGAGCTGGGATTGACATGTGAATCAAGATTGTTTCTAACCTAAATAAATAATAATAATAATAAAAATCTGCCTAAAACTATATTGAAGCATTATGGATTAATAGCTTTGGCAGAGGACATTTCCAAACATACACTGAGTGTGTTGTGTGGCTATTAGTGGCCACATTCTTGCAGGTCTATAATGAAAAGGAGCAAGCTGAGCAAGGAAACACATAAAATGCACAATTGGAAAAGGAGCACCAGGAAGTGTAAACAGATCAAAGGAAAGCCTGGTGATAAGTGGAAGAAGGGGAGGGTCATTCTGGTCCACATGTCTTGAGGGTGTTCCCTGGGGTGAATGAAGTGTGTGATCCACATACTTGCTACTCAATGTCAACTTATATCATTCATCAGTAAAAATAAAAACTCTGGAGAGTCAAGATTTTCTGTAAATGTTCTGGTATGTGTCACCATTGAGGTCTAAGGTAAATTATCAAGTGATCAAGACCTGGGATCAGAACACCTCAAGGTACACTCTGGCCACCATATATTTCAAAGAATGTCCATGTGGTTTCATCAGTAAAGGATCCCTTGGCTTCATTAGGACCATGATGTTTCCAGCTCCCTTATGATGAGAAGATGTCCAGGGTTGGATGAAGAGTGAGGGCCCTGCCCATACATCCATAATATTAAGGGCTCCTGAGTTTTCTTTGTCTGGAGGCTGCAGGTATCCAGTGATATCAGTTTATGATTAGGTACACTCCTTGACTAGGTCCTCCTGGATTCGTGTATGACTTGGTCCTTGGCTACTTGGTCAGAATTAAGCCTAGGGAAAAATCCCTTATCAGGTTAGACCAAGCTCCAATTTATCTAAGAAAGGACTTCTTGGTTTGTCTCTCTTTGGTTTGGCAGGATCCTTTGAGTTTTGGTTTTGGGCCAGGTTTCAGAGACATCAGTGACCACTCCATTATTTTGCCTGGTCTCTTCTGTGATCTGGGTATTGATTCTGATTCTTTAAAATCAACATGCGGCCTGGACTCACTTCTCCTGATTGTGGACAGCTTCTTCACAATAAGGATTGTGCCCAAGATAAATGGTTTTCTGTTGTTGTTTTGGTTTGGATTTTATTTTGGTTGTTTGTTTTTTTGTTTTGTTTTGGTTTTGGTTTTGGTTTTGCCCGGGACCTTTTCATTTTAGAGATTGGGTCCAGGCCACTTCTCTTCTTGCTTCAGACTAAGGTTAAGCCTGGTCATTCTTCTCTTGCTTGAGCATGGACCTCATTCATTTGAGGAACTGGCCCAGGCCCACTTTTCTTTTTGGTTTGGTCCCAAGCTTCTTAAGAGTTAGGGTTGGCCTTATGTGTTCTTCAGTGCAACCCCGGCTGAACTTTAGCATCAACAAAGGTCCCATTCACAGGTTCTGAAGGTTAGGGTTTGACCTTATCATCAGGAGTGTAACAGTTAATCTTCATCTTCATGTTGGCTGCACTTGCAAGCCCTAAGAGGCAGAAACACACCAAAAAAAAAAAAAAAGAGTTAGGGTTGGACCCAGTCCTACCTCTCTATTTGGATTTGGCCTCAGCTTCCTCAGAGAATATGTTAGGCCCAGGCATTCTCCTTTTCTTGCTCTACTTGGGCCACATTCAACTAAGTGATTGGCCAAGGCCCACTTCTCATCATGGTTTGGGCCTGGGCTTCATAGGGTTAAGGATATGCGTGGACGTTCTCCTTTCCTTGCTTTTGCCTGGGTCTCTTTCACTCAGGGGATTGGCCCCAGACCTGCTTCTCTTATTGGTCTGAGCCTAGGATTCTACAATGTCAGGGTTGGCCCAGTCCTACCTCTCTTCTTGAATGGGACCTCAGCTTCATCACCATAAGTGTTAGGTCCAGGCATTATCTTTCCTTTCCCTGACCTCCATCTGAGAGACTGGCCTAGACCAACTTCTCATCTTGGTTTGGGCCTGGCTTATTCATCATCTGGTATTGACACAGGCCTCTTTCAGTTCAGGTTTGACTGAGACACACTTTTATTCTTAGTTTGGGCCTGGACCTCTTTGAGTAAGGGTGAAAGTTTATTTAACTTTAGACTTTACCCCCTGACTTATTCAAGATCAGTTTTAAACCCAGGTACATTTCCTCTTCTTGGTGTCTTTTGGTTCATGGTTAAATATGATGTGTTTTCACTTTAGTTTGTAAGCATGGCCTTCTTCAGGTTTGGCCTGGACTACTTTTTAGAGGATAGAGGTCAATACTTGCCATCCTTCTCTTAAATCTCAAATATACTCATAAGAACATCGACCCGTCCACAGAGTATAGTGCACAGACACAGACATGTAAGCACACAGTCCAGATAACAGATTACACATCACAGAAATAGAAAGGTGGAGTAGGTAGGAGAGGAAGGTGATTGGGAAAGTCTTCCTGCCACACAGCTGACTGTGGCTGTGTTGGAGAGGTCCCATGAGCTCACGTGGAAAGATGATTGCTTCTAAGTAGAGCCCCAAAGAGTCCCAAACAAGGCATTGTGCAGAATTTCCTCCCTTCTATTATCTAAGCCTATGAAGGAATATTACAGGTGGTTAACAGAAGAGAAGAGGCTGATGTACCATGTGTCTAATGCAGTGGTGCTCAGCCTTCTTAATGTTACAACCCTTTAATACAGTTCCTCATGTTGTGGTGACTCCCAACCATAAAATTATTTTCTTGTAATTTTGCTACTATTATGATTAACAATGTAAATATTTGATATGCATGACATCTGATATGTCACCCCTGTGAGAGGGTCATTCAACACCCAAGGGGTTCATGAATCACATGTTGAGAACTATTGGTCTAGAGGCTGCGTTGCTAAGGTAGTGACAGGCTGTGCAGATCTTCACAAGGCTTTTCCCCAGTATGGGTATAGAATCCTCTCTACAAAATGCATAGTCATGCACTGTGAGGGTGTTCCTCTGGTCCATACCTCTGCATATCTTCTCAAGTTTTCACCATACTGTACGTAGAAAACCCCTCAAACACTGAATTGTGCCAGAGTGACCCTTTTACGAAAGCCCCCTGTCAAGTGCACTCACTGATGTGAGATCAGGTCTTCACTGATGTGAGATCAGGTCTTCAGACTATTTCTGTACTAAAAGGGATCCCTGCTCACCTTATTGTGGCTTTGAATCACAGTCTACTAAAATGTACTGTGATACCAACAGTTCTAGAGAACACCCATAACCATTGCATACCCTTTATGTGAAGTCACAGGTGACAGGCCCAAGCTGCTCAGGGTATCTCAAACACTGTGCAGGCACTCAGGTGTATTTTGGCCTGGTCCTTGGAGCAAGTGTCTGAATCAAGACTTCTCATATGATCCTTTATTGGGACCATCATCACACTTGGTCATCGTCGTCCTCCTCCTCCTCCTAGAGAACATCATCCTTGGGAAGAGGAAGATCAGAAGGGATGGGGCATACTCAGCTCACATGTGGCCTACATTTCTGCTGCCTAGTTTATCAGCAAGATGCTCTTGTCATGAGACTTGCAGTATGCCATGTGCAGCACCTGGGGTTTAGGGTACATAGCTGATTGAAAATCTTGGCCCCCAACATGTCCCTTTCATCACTAAATACAGCTTGAAGAGGGATTGCCCAGTCAGCAGGAATCCATGAAGCTTTACCTACCTGGCCCCACATTGCAGTGGATGACTTCTGAGAAAAATCACTCACTAGAGAGCAGCACAGCAGAGGAACCTCATGCTGTCCCAGTTAGGAAGCAAGAGTTCTGGGACATGTGCTGCCTCTGCCTCAGCTGCTGTCTCCTGACAAAAGCAGACATATACTGCACACTTTAACATGCAGACACAAAATCATACTCAAGAAATAAAATTATACAAGTAGATGAAGAGATGGTATGATATGGTGATCTGAAACACATATATAATTGGACATACAAAGACAGTCCTTGTTGACTAAAAACAATGTTGCTAGGAAGCTTCATCTATAGAGAAGCCCAAGAGAAGGTCTCAAGCACTACCTACTTACCCACATTGTGCAGCACATGATTCCTGAGTCGATCATCACTGGTGGGTAGTGTAAATAGATGTCCTTCAACCTTGAGTAGGCTGGAGCCTTGATCTTATACCAGGTGCTGGCTGGACAGGTCAGCATGTATGGAGAGTTCTCTCCCTCAAACTTGATTTGGCATGCCACTCACAGACATACTACATTGTCTGATGCTTTGACATCTTACCACAATCCTGTCACAGACACTTCAAGAAACTGTTTGAGCACCAGTCACCCCTATTTAGGTCACCCTACCAACAGTATGCCACAGAGAGTACAGATGGCATCTTTAGCCCAAGGATACATGTCTTTCAACCCACAAACCAGTCCTCTTGCCAACACCTTATATTCTTAGCCCAGCTCAATGGATACTATGTGGCTTTCTTACCAAGGCCTACTGTTCTACTTTCCCATGGCAACAATTCCTAATATTACATCACAGTGTCCTGACCTCACTGTATTCTGAGAATCTTAAAGGGTATCCAGGGTTCCAGCTTCTGTGTGCCAGGTGGTTTTTCCCTCAAGCTACTGATGTTCAAGGGGCCCTAAGGAGAGTCAGGATTTTATCAGCCCAACACTTGTCACAGGTGATTCTCTTGGAACTACCTCACATACAATTTCTTTCCTCCCAGTCTTCCTCTCAGTTGGTAACTTCAGCCATAGAAGGTGAGGCCAGGGGACATCACATCATCTTCATTTCACAATTCTGACCACCACTCTGCCCAGCCACATCAGTTGCTGCCTTTTCAGCTTGGTCCCCTATTAGTCATTAACTCTCATGGTGCTCTCTATTGTTTCTGGGGAGAGGGTGTAAAGGTAAGTGAAACCTTTGTTCCCCAGGCACTCCCATCAACATCATTAAATCTTAATCTTCAGTTATGATTGGCTCCATGCCAGACAGCTCACCTGGCACACCAGAGATCTTGGGTTTGTTCACCACCACAAGATAGGTACAGGTCAAGTAAATACATGAATATAAAAAAACTTAATGGAAAGAATGTGATTACTTAGTAAATTAGCCTCTGTGCTTTCTTCAAAGTCAGCCCCAACCTATGAGGTCATGATGCATCAAATCATGTGCTCCTTCCTGTTGTCGCCTCAGCTGTGCTTCCTCCTGAAGGACTCAGTGAATTGCATGTCCATGCTAATTCACAGTGAGCCAAGCCTAGTGCATAGGCCCACTGGATATTGCTGCAGTGGCAATGGGTTATCAGTAGAAGTGCTGTGAGCTGAGAATCACCTCATCTCCAAACGAGGTGTAGAGAAATAGGCAGAAACAACTGATTATTGTATATTTTCTTTTCTTTTACTCACGCCATCAGGCCTGTGACACAGAACACACTTGCTACATGCCTTCACATGCATAAACACCCAGACCTTATGTATAGTTCAAATATGTATAAATAACACAAAGCATTAGGTAGAGTTTTGCAATGGGGTTGGATGTTTAGTCATTGCCTTCAGTTACGCTGTGGAGAATTCATGGTTACATAAACAAGACTGTTGCTGTAAAGTAACAAAGTTAGGTGTTTCATAAAATAGAATTTATGAAGTATCTCTTACCTGTCATGGACACTATGGACTGCCCAAGATGACACTTGTCCTTGAATTGGGACACAACAGCAGAGCTTCATCCTTCACCAGTCTGGAGCCTAGAGTCTTTTTGGGTTAAGTGTGGTCATCCTGTGGCCTCTTTCTCTGTTGTGTTATGTGTGCCAAATCCCTGTGACCTTTCATGCCTGGTTCCTCTTCCTGCATTCCTCTGATCCCTGCTGCCATCATATCTTCTTACCATAGGTACTGTCCTGTTTAATATAGGACACTTCGAGGACATGACAGTGACTCACAGCCATACACACTGTACATCACACTGGGGTTAAATTAGATCATCATCCCAGTGTCCAGTGTCAGACACCTATTGCTGCATTCAAGGTGAAGTTCTAACAAGCAGGCCAAACATGCACAGTGGCTTAAATATCAAATATCATATAGGTTTATTTTTCCTATTCATGAAGTCCAGAATTAACACCATTCACCAGTGGGCCATGTTCCTCCTCCACGTGGTGATGCAGGGATCTGATTTCTGATTAGCTGTGTCTTCTGTATCTTTGAAATGTGACTTTGCTTACCTGTTTGGAAAGAAAAGTATGGGGTGGGTTTTATGGGTTGGACCTGGCAGGCCTGAAATATCATTGGCTAAAAGTCAGCCTCAAGCCATCTCTTGCATGACAATTTTCCATACCCTATCTTTTATTTCTTGGGTTCTCAATCCTTTCATAAAAAATTCATGCTGGATAAAGGGTTTTACATACCAAACAGGCCAGAGATTTAGGGGGCCAGCTTCTCATTTCAAAAATGTTCCACTGCTTTTTAAATTATTTTCTACTACAATCACTCTGAAAGAAATCCCTATTGCTTGATATTAGATATTAACAAATGTAGCCATTGAAGCAGACGCACATATCCAAAAACACCAGGAGAATTAATTACCTACAGTTAGACTCATCTCATCCTTTCTCTTCCTGGGCAACACTGTGAAGTTGAATGATTTTCCCCCCACTCAAGCACTGAGCTGAAAACCCTGTATTATGAAACAGGGTCCACCATGCAGTAAGATAACAAGAAAATGTCATGGTGGAAACCCTAGGCACAGCCCTCTGGCTGGATATGTCGGGGAGTGAGAATTGTCCTCTAATTTAATGACAGCAAGTCTGAGGGGATCTCTGAAGGCATAGTAGCAAGAAAAATGTCATCTCATATGTGGCCAGAACCCATGCTTTCCAGAAGTCGTCCCTAGCTCCCATCAGGGAGATAATCTGAAATTACAATAACACTGTCTCTGATTTTGTGAACTTATTACATGGCAAGCACTGCTTTTAGCACTGTGTGGCACTGTGAGTACATCAACTCAGTTAATGCCTGATGATCTCACCCTCTTTACATGAAGGAGGAGGAGGCTGGAGAGTAGGGAGCTGAAATTACTTCCTCTAGGAAGAGCTGGAGCCCTAGAGATCTGAAGTCTGGAAGCCTTGATTCCCTCATGGACACTGTTATTTGGGGCAAAGATAACTGGATTAAGTGAATATCCAAAATGTAACCCAAATTCTACCACAAATAAATTGGGTTTTTTTGGCTTGTTTGTTTTACTTCAGGGGTACTATGGACCAAACCCATAGCTTTACCCACACTAAGTAAGCATGTAGGAAAGCATGTAGGCACGAATGTGTTACTGAGCTACAAGCCCAGCCTGTAGGTTTTTAAGACAAGGTTTCACCATGTAACTGGGGCTATCCTCAAGCCTATGGAACCTCTTGAGTGCTAGAATCCCAAATACCCCATCATCCCAGTAAGCAAGTTGTTTTAACAGAGAAAATTGTTACATTTCCATTAAAAATAGCATCTGCTTTTCCTGGTGTGGTGAAGTGTTACTCTAAGGTGTTGTATTCAGGTCCTCGCCCCCCCATGCTGACACTGAGCTTGGTCAAATGGCATATTGTGACAAATAGGATTAATAATGAAGGTGAGCTTGCACAATGGGAATTGTCTTATCTTGCTGCTCCTGCGTACCCATGATTGTCACATTCACGAGTCAAGACAAGCTTACAAGAAAATGAGATGTGTGTAGTCATAGCCCTGTTTGATTCAAGTCAGCTTCAGATCATGTAGTGAGTGCCAAGCCAGCCCAGACCAAAAGAATCAACATACCAATCCACAAAACCAAGAAAAATAATTACTGTTTGTCAAAAACTTGATCACACAGCTGGTAACTGTCCTTGTTCTAGTAAGGCATACAGAAGAACAAACTAGGTGTTTTGCCATTTAGTAATGTATACTGGGAAAGGTCCAATGCCAACTGTACATGCACTATGCCCATGGATAGGGGAATTACTTTCCACTGAAATCCAAAGGTGAGTGATACCCACCTGGAAGGGAAGAATCAAGCTGCAGAAGCCAGAGGCCCAAGAGAGTCTATGAATGGATGATCTGACTGAAAAGGCTATATGCCTCAACTGGGTAAGACAGACAGATGACAGGATTTGAGTAATATCAAACAGGTAAACTGAGGTAACAGTCACTAATAACTGGCTTGATACCAGTCACAGACCTTGTCATCCTTCCCTCTAGCCAAAGCACCCTGGACTCCCAGCAGACCTTCCAGGCACTAAAAGACTGTCCATCAGCACACTCACATGAGTTACACATATGTGAGAGATGAGTAGTTTTCCAGGTCTTCTGGCAACTCTTGTCCTTTGGATACATCATATATTTCTTTTCCAAGATGGAAGAGCTACTGGAATCTGAAGGCTGAAGGCTGAATCCATGCACTTGATGTTCTCACTACAGGGTTTCTACTCTTCTTGCCCATGTCAACTGCTTATTCTTCCAGACTCACTTCATGCTCCCCACTCCACCTTCTAAGTGTTTCACTGCCCCTCTTTTTAAATTCAGGCTCCTGGAGTGTTTTTATTCTTATTGGGCAGAGGGTGACTGCCAGAGACAGGGTAATTGGGGATTAAAAGGAAGATAAGTTCTTCTTTCCACTGATTACTAACCTTGTAACCTGACCTTGGACAGATGACTTAACATTTCAGAGATGTCACTTCCACATTCCTAAAATAGGATAATGACAGCACCATCTGAGATTAAATAAAAATGCACAAAAGCTCTTTGTTCCATATTTTGCTAAATAACAGATACACATATTATTGATAATGACCTTGAAAAACTTTATTTTTTGTAGAAGCAGGAGTCATGATTTTTAGGAAAGGAGGAATTATGAGATACCCAAATCCATGCTCTAGAAAAATGGTTCATCGTGTGCTTTACATAAATATTGGTGGAGGGATAAATGGGTGGGTGAATAGATAGGTCACTGAGTCTGTGGACAGGTCAATGTATGTGTGGATGGATAAATGTGGGATTGTGTAAGTTGGCATATATATGGGTTCATGGATGTATTGATGGTTGGGTGGATGCATGTGCAGATAGGGGGACAGATCATTGAACATATAGGTGATTGGTTTTGTGCATAAATGGATGGATGGATCGATCGATGGATCGATGGAGGGATCGATGGATCAACAGATCTATGGATCGATGGATGAGCATGTGGTTGGGTGAGAAAGTGATAGACAGATGAATTTATGGACTGGTGGGTGAATAGATGGATGAATGACTTGATCCATCAAGCCATTACATGGGTTATTTGGTTTTTCTTCCTTTTTCCCCTCAATAGTCTACAGTTTCAAGCATTTGATCTTTCATATCCATGGCTAAATTTACTGCTTTTTAATTTTAAATGAAATTTTGTTTGTAAATTATTTTCCAGATAGCTCATTATTTGTATAGAATAACTTGTATAGAGATGATATGAATCCTTGTATATTGAAG